AAATTAAACATCAAATAAAGATAAAATCACACAATTCGGACATTAAATGCAAAAATGCAAAGTACATATTTTTGTGATTTTTTCATTTTGTAAAACAAACTTGATTGTTTAATTAATTCCTAAATTGTAAAATTAAATCCTAAATGCACATGCAACACATATTTTTGTATTTTTCTTAATTAAAGTAGAAATAAACATGCACAGACAAAATATAAATAAATCACAAACAACACAAAACCATTTTATTTTGAATTTTTGGGAGTAGTTCTCATAGGGCAAAAATCACGTGCTCACAACCATTAATTATCCCAAGTGGCGACTCTGAATTTTAAATAAAAATAATCTCGTTTCGATTGTCCTTTAATTGGAAAAACTCCCTTATATATACACCCTTCCGCAGGGTGTAGGCAAAAAGGAGGTGTGACACCCACTACAACATTGTCTGGATGAAAAATACAACAGAAAAGAAAGATAAGGGAAGGTGACTCCGAGGGTTGCGGACACCGAGCAGGTATACCTTGAAGTCTACGAAAAATCAACTACAACCAATCACTAACGTTCAGCACGAGGAGACATACCTGGATCTGCACAAAAAGATGTGCAGAAGCATAGTATGAGTACACCATAACGGTACCCAGTAATTATCAAGCCTAATCTCGGTAGAGTAGTGACGAGGCCAGGTCAAGATACCTACTAGGATATAATAAATAGAATAAAAATATAATAACGAGAAGTAATGGAAGATAGAGAAATAACTGATACGAAACAAGCTAATAACATAGTCTAGTGACAGAATTGTAAGCATGGAGATAACATAAGGATAGCAGTTAAAGTGAACCACCATAGTCAAATACAGATCGTAACTGATAAGACAAGAAAGAATAAAAGCAACAAGAAGTGTTCCACCATTAACACTCTACAATATGAGATAAATAATAAGAATTACCAACGAGGTACCGCCTCGTACACAATAACTCTTACTTGATTGGCCTGCAAAAAAAAGGAACAATAAAAAGGGGAAAAAAGAACGCAAAAGAAAAAAAAATTACCTCTGTAGTGCCCGCAAATCGAACTTGAGAGTTGATGCAAAGAATGCGTCTTGATGTTATCTTGATGTGGGATAAAAAGTATTCACTGTGAGGTGGTCTAAGGTTTTCCTATTCCAAGTAGGATTTAAAGTGGACAACATAGAGAGTCACAGTAGGAAGTGGATTTCTTTGTTTCTTTCTCATGCAACACCTGTCTCCTTAGTTGGAATGATAGAATCATAATTTTGCACCATGTTACCAAACTCACGTGGCACATGACTAGTGTACTTTGACTTTGATAATAATTTTTATTGCAATGGTATAATGAGGTTTTAATTTTTCAAAAGACAAAGTTCCGTGAAGCTCAACAATAGTAGCTCATCAACTTATGGAAACACGTAAATCTTTCGAAAATAAATGAAAGATTCTTAAGTGTATTAAATCTGGTTGCTTCAACGTGTTGCTTCAAACCTTGTTTTTGAAGTTCAATACGTTTACGTCCCAACAAATCTTGAAGTAGGGGCATTTGTAGACATATAAATTTTATTAAAATTAAATCCATAAAATAATTTGGATTATATTTTAAATTCAAGAGATATTAGTTCAAATAAATTTATTTGGCTAATATGATTGGATTAGTTATATAAATCCAATATATATGGATTCAACCCGAATCCATTGGACTAGCCCAATTTAATTGGGCTACAAGTAATGAACTCACTTCATTAGGTCCAAGATATCATCTTTCTAGAAGCCCAGTTTGGTACCACGTGTGAAATGACAAGGCACGCCAAGTCAAACGGAAGAACCAATAGGAGCATGCCATGCCAAGTCAAATTAAAACGCCAATGAAACCGCACCACATGTGCGGGTGGCATATTCTGACCAATCAAATGCGGCCTTGTCACTCTTCAATCTGATTGGTCGGAAAGAGTGTATTTTCATCTCAACTCTTCCCTCCCCACAACTATAAATAGGGGTTTTCATAACTCAGAAAAGATACCAAAAGTTATAACAAGAAGTAAGAAAGAGCTTGTGGATCAAACGCCTAAATTTCTCTACAAGCTTCAAGTTTCAAGCAACCAAGTTCAAGTTCAAGAAATCAATTTCAAGCTCAAGAACGAAGAACAAATCAAGATTCAAGGAGTATCAAATTAAAGTTCGTGCTAGTTGCATTCAAGATCATCGTTCGCGGCAACAAATATAGATTCAAGATCAAGCTCAAAGACCTTTGAATTTATTTACTTTTAGAAAGAAGAAACAGAGAAATCATAGAAATTGTAACACTCAAATTATTTGAAATAAAATATTATGATTTTTGCAATATTTTTAGTTTCGATTCTTTTCTTGACGCAAAATTTATTGTCTCGACGAATCAAGGGACAGTAGGTGAATTGTTTTTTGCAAAATAAGCAATTGAAATATTTGAAGTATATACATATAGACTTGGAAAAGAACTCCTCATTTAAATATAGCCATTTGAAGTACCTTTATTTAGTGGGCTCCAATCCAGGTCAAAGGTAGAAATTCTGACCCAAACACCTTCAAAAGTAGCCGTACCACGAAGACTGAAGCACACTTAAAGGCCCAGATCCAATCGTACTAAATATTCAGAGGCCCAAACTAAATTACTGGACAAGGACCAAGGTGGCACACTAGTGGTCCCAAAAGAAGTCATGAGGCAGAATCATTCAAAAGCAACCCAAGTGGGAGACAGTGAAATTTCAAACAACTTTTATTGTCTCTTGGCTTGGATTTTTAATGTTATAATTCAAGTGGAAGTACTAATATATTTGCTTTTGCTTTATTAATCAAATAGAACAATGTTGAACTCATCATTGTATTGTCTTGGGATTCTAAGACATCCCCAATATGTTATCACTTGAGTTCTTTGGGTCCCCTATTTTGTTTACTTTCTTATTTGGTCATCTGCTTTGCTTAAAATCCTCTTTTACTTTACGTGAAAGTTTTCTTATAGTCTCTTATTTTTTCAGGTATAAAGTAACAAAGCAATAACATTAACCAGAGAGTTTTCTGTTGAAGGAGAAAATATTTCTAGATTATTGTGACTAATGTGCTTTTATTAGGTTTACCATTTAGAGTTTAACTTCCAAACACTCACCTAAAAATTAACTACATATAATTTTCTATAAAAGTGGAATGAGTATTGGGGAAAATGCCATAAGCAACCTGTGGATAACGCATTAAATTACATTGTTCGGTGTAAAAAGCATTTTACAATGATAGGTGTATTAAGTTAAATCCAATTAGTTTCTAATTTGAATTTTGTTCGCTGATAGAATGATAAGTGCATGAAATTTGTAAAACATTTAATGTAATTTGGCATGTCCCCAACAAGTTATCTGCCATGTTTGTCGAGTTTCTTTATACTTATCCAAAATCTCAAACCATCAAATGCTAGAGCACGATTCTATTTTTCCGTCTTCCTTTTTTCTTTTAATGAAAAGGAATATAATTGTATTTCAGCATCTTCGGATTCTTGAGAAGCGAAGAATTTTATTGAATCCTCAACTAGGAGTAGAGTAGGTAGTAAATCACAATCTCTTTTCTTTGACTTGTAAGGCATAGGTAATTGATCTTGATTCTTGATTATATGATCTGCATCAAACTAATAGTGGGCAGTAAACAAGGAATTATATTACATAACGACATAATTAGACACATAAATATTTGGTATAATCTCCACGCTCCCAATATGATTACTTATCCACATAACTAAATCCAAGCTAGAGTTGGCACTAAAAATATCACATGATTTAAACCACTAAGGAAGTCCCAAACAAGGGGTCCATTTATCCCCTCTTTAGGGGAAAAAGCCAACTCCTTATACTTGTTCATATCAAACACTTTTTTTGTGTATAAAAATAGTTATCCATCTCAGAAATCTCAGAGCATCAATTGTTTTCTGACTATAGGCATTACCCAATTTCACATAATTACAAGAAAATCCGATGGAAAATCGCCGTAGAAAGAACAGTTCAGGGGACAAATTTTCATTTCCGATTATAATGCCAGTTCAAGAAGGACAAGAACTGGAATTTGAGTTTTCTGGTAGCGCATCGCCAGGGTCTCCAAAATCACCAGCAGATCATTTATTTTTCAATGGTAAACTCTTGCCACATTATTTCCCATGTCAACCAGCTAGTAATATTAGCAGTCCAATATCATTTTCGCGATCAACGAGCAGAACAAGCAGTGTTAGTAGCAAAGATTCACTCTTGTCTTCGCGCAGTAATAGCACAAACAGTAGAAGTAGCTGCAGTAGCAGTGCAAGAACAAGCATAAGCGAAACCTCTGAACTCAAACTAATTGGTCAAGGGAAAAAATCAGCTTTTACTAAGTATATGAACTCGTCGAGTAATATGCATACCGGTGTTTCACAAAAGTTGCAGTTTATTGTGACACCAGCGCCAGTTATGAAGAAAAAGCGACATGTTGTTGTTTCTGGATCTAAGAAAGAGAGTACTACCAAAGGACGCAAAGAATTAAAGTCAAGGAAACAGAAAAAGAAAAATGGTAAGAGGAAAGTAAGGTTCTGGTTTTTTCGAAGTTTTTTCAGCAAGTTTATATCTGCATGCAAGGAATGTCACGCTATGGAACCAACAAGAAAAGAGAGGTTTTCTCGTCATTGAAGATTTGACAATATTATTAATACTAATTAATTGCCTATTAATATATTACTGCTAGCTAGTTGTTAATTATATATATATGGCTAGTATGATGATTGGCAAAATTTTAATGTTGCTTAATTATTGATTTTAAAGATTTTGGGAGAGAAAATCTTTCTCAAGTCTGATAGCGATTAAGAAGCTTTGATTGTGCAAGGTTTTGTGCCATCCCTTTTCTGTCAATGGATTGATTTGTCCTTATGTCATTAGCTTATTTGTTGGCGGAAGAACCATATATAAATTTAATGCAACGTAGATATCTACTTATTGGTTAAGAGTAAATTGAGAAAAAGATTTACTCACACTCGATTAACACCAAATAAATTGACGCAAGACATATATCTTTCAATAACCTTTTAGCACTTAACTAATTATGGTTAAATATTCTCAAATAAACTTATGACTCTTATTGCTAAATAAATTGTTTTTAAAAAAACAAAGGAGAGTAAGTATTTTTCAAGTGAGAATGTCCAATCATATATTGTTGTTGATTGATCAAAATGAGCGTGAAATTGATCAATTGAATTCTCCTCTGCGGTGGGTTGAAGTTGTAGGGGTACTCTTTAGCATCAAATTAGATAAGTTACTTTCTTTTTTAGTATATTCCAAAATAAATGATACATTTCTAAATTTGAAAATAATTCAACTTTAAATTATTCATTTTACTCATTTTATCCTTAATGAAAATTTTTTATAATCATACAAATGTTATGGCCACACAAAATGTTTATCCAAAATCTTTTAAGATCATAAATTTCAAAAGTTTTTTTTTAAAACTTTATACCGAGTCAAACTATCCAATCTAAATTGAGACGGAGGGAATATATTTTTTGAAGACATGTAAATGAAAGAAAAGACTGCTGCTACTGCCGCCATAAAGATTACTTGGACAGGTTGGATACGTTTCGTTACAATCAACAATAAAGCGGCTAATCTAAAGTGATGGCCAAGGCTGGAGTTTTCATGCCTGAAATGACTACTTCCGTCGACATGAAAACCAATTAGAATAGAGACCAAGTATTTCGTTGTACATCGTTAGGTGCTAATAGAGTCTCCAAATTCAGGGAGGGGAAAAAAGTAGTAAAGTTGTGTTTAAATGTAATCTAACTGTGATAAACTCTCATATAAATCACCTGAATAAAATGAAATAAATACGAATGATTATATAAAACATCTCTAACTTTTCTTAATTGAAACTTAATAATTAGTTGATGAGTATTACTATATTTAGTAGGTGGGCTAAAGATTGTGGTGGAATGAATCCTATAATAAGAAATCTATTCGAGCTCATCAAATAAAAATATTTTTGGTAAAAAGAATTTTTCCTTTTATTAGATTTCAGACAGTATGAATTCAAATTAATCAGGCCTCACTGTAACACACCCTAAGAGGTCATTGGTAATAGGGGCGGGCATCGGTCGATTCGGTTCGGCTCGGTTGTGAATGTTATCGGTTTAGCATATTTGTTATCGATTTATAAATATGCTAAACCGATAACCGAAACGATAAGATATCGGGTATCGGTTAGTCGGTTATTGATCCTTATCGGTTTACCCGATAAAATAAAATAAATTTCCAAAATTTTCATGTATTTTATTATAGAAATCTTGATTATACTGTTAAGAGAAAGGAAATGAATTTTTTCTCATTTTCTTTCTCTTAAGAAAAGAGGGATTAAATTTCAACTTTAGAAAAGAAAACTTTCTTTGCATTTGAAATCCCAGTGAATGATCTCAATTTTCAGAGTTATCAGTTAGTAGGAGTAAGGAATAAGACATTCAATAATCTAATCTTACTAACTATTGTCACACCTCCTTTTTGCCGCGCCCGCGGGGCGCGTAGGGAGTTTTCTCCAATTAAAGGACAGTCGAAACGGGATTTGTTTGTTTGTTTCAGAGTCGCCACCTGGGAATTTTAAGGCGTCCCAAGTCACCAATTTTAATCCCTGAATCGAGGAGAATATGACTCTGTTTATTATTCTGCGAACCAGAAATCC